CTTTCTATGTAACGCATTATGTTCCAAAAAGTCGCTTTTCTATCTACAAGTCACTCCCATGCGGTTGTAGAACTTGAACCATTCTGTTCTAGATAAAGCTGTTCAGTCTATGAGTCTCTTCCGTGCTGGTGTACAACTATGACCACTCCTTTGAAGTAACTTTTCTATCTATGATGAGTCTCTTTTATGCTCTTGAAGATTTACAACCCCTGCCTCTTCCTGACGTTTGTTTTTTCTACACGACATACGAGCACACTTTAAGTTGAAACTATTGATAAATACGCTTGTAAACAAACCTACCACAATTGTCTCTTTAGACATTGCTGCTTTTTCTCCTACGTGACTTAAAACTTAACTTGTAAACCTACAACTACTCTCTCTCCCTCTCTCTCTCTCTCTCTCTCTCTCTCTCTCTCTCTCTCTCTCTCTCTCTCGGCATAGCTGTTCTTTCTATGTGACTCTAAACTATGTAAACCTATGACTACTCTCTTTAGACGTAGCTATTCTTTCTACTCAGCTCCAAAGTACGTTTGTAGTAGTAGTAGTATAAGGTTTTACGGCGCTCGCAACTGCTAAAGTACGTTTGTAAACGAACCTACAAAAATTATCTATTTTTAGACGTAATGGTGTGGTACTAGAATGTGTGGCAAAGAATCGACCTCTCTCTTTGTAGACAAAATTGTTCTTTCTATGTAGCACTAGACTTCGCTTGTTATATAAATATAGTTTTTCTCACAACCTCTCTGTCCTCTCTGTACATAGCTTGCTATTCTTTCTATCTACGTGACACTGGAGCCAAGTTGAGCTAAAATCAAAAGCCTCTCGTCATTGTTTTAGCTTTAACCGCAGCTGTCCTTTCCGTCTCTTGTTAGTTTGGTAAGAGTTTACTGCTTCCACGACTGCCTACAGTCTTATGTGTGCAAAACTGAAGCCAACAAGCAATCCCACTCCAGCTCAAACTGTTGACTGCAGATGTCCCAAGAAGTGCCCACAAGAACGCATCATCTCACACAAGACCTGGTCTGCCTGGCACAGATTGTCTTGTGTCCTGCCAATCGCTTACTTCCCATCTGACCCATCACTCCCTCCACCTTCCCGTCTCCAAAACCTTTAGTCTATTGCAAGTTAATGCAGCTAGTTTTATGCCCCCTTCGACACAATTTAGATCATTTAGGAGGCGGGCTTGAACCCTGCCTGCCCAGGCCAACCCGGGTTTAGAGGGATTCGGCATCCCTGCGGATAAACAGAGGTACTCTTCTCACACGAGAATCAAAGTCACGTCTTGTGTGTGCGACGGCAAAGCACGTAGCTGCAACACCGCAGACGCTAGCTGTTCTAGTTTATTAATTGCTTACCCATAAACAAGCTCTTTCACTCGTTCTCCTACTCATGTTCTTATTCACTCACAAACTCAGTCATTCACTTTCTCGGTTGCCTATGAAAATGTACTTATTACCATCTCTTTCATTCACTCATGTGTACACCCCCCCCCC